GCGATCCTTCCGCCTCAGCCTTCCGAGTAGCCGGAATTACAGGCGCGCACTACCACACCCTCCTGATTTTTTGATTTATTGTAGAGATGAGGTCTCGCTACCCAGGCAGTTCTCGAACCCGCAGCTCAGGCAATCCACTCACCTCAGCCTCCCAAAGGCGCGGGATTACAGGCTGAGCCACCGAGCCCAGCTTTCAATTTATTATTATATGCATAGCATACTCAATTGTTTAATCTTTCACAGCACATTAACAAACTTATTAGGAAAACAGGACTACTACGACCAAAGATGATACAGAGTGCACACAATTCTGACAGATGATCAAGGTGTGGTTTCTTTAGGAAACAATTCTACCAAAAACTAACATGGTAATAGAAGTAATGCAAAAGGTTCAAGACATTAAATGTAGGACTGTGACTCCATATTGCCATTTAGTGCATTGTGTATCATACAATTAAAAAAAAACAACTAACCCCCAACTATGGAATGTCAGCCTGACACCCAAGATAGTCAAAGTCTCGTGTAATTCAATATCCCACACTATTTTCTGGTTAGACCAAAAAAAAAAAAAAAAACAACCAACCAGTGAATTATTTCACCTCTAGAAAGAAAAAAAGAAAAGCATTTACACTTTAAAAATGGGATGCATGGAATTCCTTCTTTCTTAAAAATGTTTCTAGAACTACTAAAAAACTTGCAATGACAAAATAGTTGATAAAATATCTCTCTGGATTGTACAAGAAGGGAGACAGGGCCCACTGATAAGATACAGTATGTGAACAGGGCGCGATGGCTCATGCCTGTAATCCCAGCACTTTGGGAGGTGGAGGTGAGAGGATTGCCTGAGCTCAGGGGTTTAACAAAAAAATCAGCCAGGCGTGGTGACACGTGCCTGTGGAAGGTTGAGGCAGAAGGATCCCCTGAGCCCAGCAGGTCGAGGCTGCAGTGATTGTGAGCATGCCACTGCACTCCAGCTTAGGTGAGAGTGAGACTCCGACTCAAAAAACAACAATAACAACAGCAATAACAAAAAAGGAGAGCAAGAGAGATACAGAGAGATACGGTATATGATATTAATCAGATTTGGCTTCTTTCTGTCTCTTCTCATCAGAGGCTGCATTCTCAGTTTTAGTTTCTCTGTTTTCTGCAGGTAACTCTTCAGTTTCTTGATTAGCCACTTGGCCTGTTTTCCTTTTTGTCTGCGCATATCTTATCTGAAGATTTTCATTTTTGTTTGTACTTATCTTGTCGGAAGATTTATCCTTTTTTGGCTTCACTTCCACTTTTGCAGAAGCAGGATTAGCCAACAACCACACAGATCTTCTCTTGGACTTTTTCTTTGCTGCCTCCTTGGCTGAGCTAACCTTTTCCTTGAGCATCTTGCAAAGCTAAACTGCCTGGCCTCTGCCTTTCCTTTCCCTGAAAATCTCTAAGAAGGTTCTTTTGCTCAGAAGAATGATTTAAAGGATAGTCACTTAAAGAAAATGCCATAATCGTAAGGAAAATGTGCTGAATGACAGAATGGCCTCCAAGGATTTGGCAATAGGAATCATCTTCTTAGCACAGTCTACTGTTGGAATCCTGGGCAATTTCTCTCTTCTTTGTTACTGTCTCTTCCTTTCCCACACTGAAAGCAGACTGAGGTCCACAGATTTCATTTTCAAGCACTTGATTACAGCCAACTGCTTAGTTATTCTCTCTAAAGGAGTTCCTCATATAATGACAACTTTTGGGTTAAAACATGTCTTCAATGATTTGGGATGCAGACTTATTTTGTATGTCCAAAGTGTGGGCTGGAGTGTGTCCATTAGCATCACCTGCCTCTTGAGTGTCTTCCAGACCATCTTGGTCAGCCCCATGAACTCCAGGTGGAAAGATTTAAAGGTAAATGTCCCAAGGTACATTGGTTACTTTATTCTTTTCTGCTGGATTCTGTACATGGTGGCAAATCTCATTTTCCCTGTGTATGACTTTGTCAAATGGAGCAGCAAGAACATCACAAAAAGAGATTCTGGAGACTGTTCTACTCCAGGCTGTGCCAAAAGATTAGACTTATTATATGCAGCATTATTTGTATGTCCTGAGGTTTTGTTTTCAATGCTCATAAACTTGTCCAGTGGCTTCATGGTTTTCTTCTTGTTCAGGCGCAAGCAGCAAGTCTGACACATTCACGGGACTAAAGTTTCCCCCAGATCCTTCCCTGAGTCCAGAGCCACCAGAAGTATCCCTGTCCTGGTGAGCACCTTTGTGTCCTTTCACACCCTCTCCGCCATCTTTCATGCTTGTGTTCCCTATTTCATAATCCTAATTGGTGGTTGCTGAACATTCCTGCCCTAGTTTCAGTGTGTTTTCCAACTGTCAGTCCCTTTCTGCTCATGAATCATAACTCCACTCTGCTTTCTCTGGATCAGGAATGCAAAATCCCCTCATCTTATTATAAATATGTAAATTGTACATTTTTGTGCACTGTTATTTAGTAATTCATCACCTTCAGAATGTCAGTACAGAAACCTATGGAGAAGTGACATCTTTCTAAGGTGGACCCTGGTGTGGACTGGGGTTTCTTTGGCTGGTTAATTGTGGGATATACGTGGGGATAGCAGAGGTGAATATAGCAGGTTATTTTCATCCTGATACATTGTACTTGAGTGATAGTAATCTTTTTTTTTTTTTTTGAGTTGGAGTCTCACTCTGTCACCCATACTGGAGTGCAGTGGCTGCTCCCAGCCACTGCAGCCTTGACCTGCTGGGCTCTGGCGAGCCTTCCGCCTCAACCTTCCAAGTAGCTGGAACTATAGGCACGTGCTACCACACCTGCTAATTTTTTGATTTATTGTAGAGATGAGGTCTTGC